GTGTCTGCCTCACGGACTAAAACTGGTAGTTGGTTCCACAGGAGAGGAGCCTGATAACTAAAAGATCTGCCTCCCATTCTACTTTTAGAAATTCTAGGAACCACTAGTAAACCTGCAGATTGAGAGCGAAGTGCTCTGTTAGGAACATAAGGAACAATCAGATCTCTGATATAAGATGGAGCTTGGCCATTTAAGGCTTTATATGTGAGAAGGAGGATTTTAAATTCTATTCTTGATTTAACAGGAAGCCAATGAAGAGAAGCCAGGATAGGAGAGATGTGATCTCTCTTTTTAATTTCCATCAGAACTCTGGCTGCAGCATTTTGGATCAGCTGAAGACTCTTAACTACAGTTTGTGGACTTCCTGATAGTAAAGAATTACAATAGTCCAGCCTTGAAGTAACAAATGCATGGACTAGTTTCTCAGCATCACCCCTGGACAGGAGATTTCTAATTTTTGCAATGTTCCTCAGATGAAAGAAGGAAATTCTAGAAACCTCTTTGATATGGGATTTAAATGACAGGTCCTGATCAAAAACAACACCAAGATTTTTTACTTTATTATCTGAAATCAGTTTAATCCCATCCAAATGAAGTGACTGACTAATCAGCTTATTTTTCAAAGACTCTGGTCCAAAGACTATAACTTCTGTTTTGTCTGCATTCAGAAGCAGAAAGTTAAGAGTCATCCAGGTTTTTATGTCTTCAAGACATGCCTGTAATCTATGTAATGGGTTAGCTTCATCTGGATTTATAGACAGATATAGCTGGGTATCATCAGCATAACAGTGAAAATTAATCCCATGCTGTCTAATAATTCTACCAATTGGGAGCATGTATAAAGTAAATAGAATTGGTCCTAGCACTGATCCCTGTGGTACTCCACAGGTAACCTTTGAGCATGTTGAAGATCTATCATTAACATGAACAAACTGAAATCGATCAGATAGATAAGATTTAAACCAGTCTAATGCTGTTCCTTTAATTCCAACAAAATGTTCAAGTCTTTCTAAAAGAATATTATGGTCAACTGTATCAAATGCAGCACTAAGATCCAACAGGACGAGCACAGATACAAGTCCATTATCTGAGGCCATGAGAATATCATTAGTGACTTTCACCAGAGCTGTTTCAGTGCTATGATGAGCTCTAAAGCCAGACTGAAACTCTTCAAAAAGTTCATTATGGTGTAAGTGATCGCAAACTTGCTTGGCAACTACTTTCTCAAGAATTTTGGATAAGAAAGGAAGATTGGATATAGGTCTATAATTAACCAGGTCATCTGGGTCAAGAGACGGTTTCTTAAGCAGAGGTTTAATTACAGCAACCTTAAAAGCTTTAGGTACATATCCCTGAAACAGAGATAAATTAATCACATCTAAAATGGAGGAGGAGATCAAAGGGAATGCCTCCTTAAATAACCTGGTTGGAACTGGATCTAACATACAAGTTGAAGGCTTAGATGAAGACAATAATTTTGCTAATTCAGAGAGTTCAACTGGATCAAAGCAGTCTAAACCCGGTTCAGATTCCATGACTACCTCAGGTACAATCGCGGATAGAGGAGTGCTTATGATCTTATTTTTAATAAGATCAATCTTATTTATAAAGAATCCCATAAAATCATTGCTGCTAAGAGCAGGTGGAATGGACGGTTCAACAGAGCTATGGCTCTGGGTGAGTTTGGCAACTGTATTAAAAAGAAATCTAGGATTATTCTTATTCTCCTCTATTAATGAGGAGAAGTATGCTGCTCTTGCTTTACAAAGGGTCCTCTTATACAGCAGTAAACCATTTTTCCAGACTAGGAAGGACTCCCGCAGGCCTGTGGAGCGATATTTTCTCTCCAGTTTCCTAGCATTTTGCTTCAAAGTACGCAGCTCTGCATTAAACCAAGGAGCAAGCTTTCTATTTTTAACGGTTTTCATTTTCAAAGGAGCTGCATTGTCTAAGGCAGCACGCAGAGAACTAGCAACCCCATCAACAAAATCATCAACCTGTGAAGGGGAATAAGCTATGCTTTTGCATTCTGCAGCACTGCTCAGCGACAAAGAGGAGAGAGAAAGTGAAGCAGATTCTTTAAAATTTATAACTGCACTATCTGATAAAGATCTACTAAAATGTAACCTTCTTTTGGGGGAGGAGAACTCTGTTAAAGTAATCCTGAAGGTTATTAGAAAGTGGTCAGAGAGGACAGGGTTGTGAGGAAATACTGTTATTTCTTCACATTCTATGCCGTATGTCAGCACAAGATCCAAAGTATGAAGATGAGAATGTGTGGGACTATTCACATTTTGAACAAAGCCAATAGTGTCTAAGATAGCATTAAAGGCTGCTCTTAAGCTATCGCCTTCAATGTCAGCATGGATGTTAAAATCTCCCACTATGATGACCCTGTCAGTTTTTAATACCAAATCAGAAAGGAACTCTGAAAACTCATCTAAAAATTCAGAGTAAGGACCTGGTGGACGATACAAAGTTACAAAAAGAAGAGGTTTTCTTGCCTTGAAATTTGGATCAGGGAAATTAAGGGTTAAATGTTCAAAAGAGTTGTAGGTATTAACTGTTTTGGGAGTAATCAGTAAGTCAGACTGGAAGATTGCTGCTACTCCTCCTCCTCGCCCAGAACTTCTGGGTATGTGAAAATTTAAATAGCTTGAAGGAGTTGCCTCATTTATGCTCACATAATCCTCTTGCTGCAGCCAGGTTTCTGTAAGGCAACACAAGTCAATGTGATTATCACAAATCAAGTCATTAACTAGCAGACTTTTAGAGGAAAGAGATCTTATGTTAAACAGACCGCATTTAATTGTTTTAACTTTTTCCCCAATTGGAGTTATTTTTATTTTAATTAGATTATCATGATTTACTCCTTTAGGAATATTTGCTAATTTATTAGATTTTGGTCGTGGGCAAGACACTGTCTGGATGGAGTAAAGAGTGGGTAACAGTAGAGAAGCTGCAGAGATGTGTGTTAAACTACAACTCTGCTTCCTGGTCTGCACCCTGGGTGGTCAGGGTTTTGGAGGACTAATAAATGTGGCCAGATTCCTAGAAAGAAGAGCTGCACCATCCAAAGTGGGATGAATGCCGTCTCTCCGAATCAGACCAGGCTTTCCCCAAAAGGATTGCCAATTATTAATGTAGCCCACGTTGTTTTCAGGACACCACCTAGACAACCAGCGGTTGAATGACGACATGCGGCTAAACATGTCATCACTGGTCAGATCAGGGAGGGGACCAGAGAAAATTACGGAGTCCGACATTTTTTTGGCAAACTTACACACCGAAGCAACACTAATTTTAGTGACCTCCGATCGGCGTAACCGGGTGTCATTACCACCAGCGTGAATAACAATCTTACTGTATTTAACCTTATCCTTAGCCAGTAGTTTCAGGTAGGATTTGATGTCGCCCGTTCTGGCCCCCGGCAAACATTTGACTATGGTCCCTGGTGTCTCTAATGCCACGTTTCTGACTATGGAGCTGCCAATCACCAGAGTGGGCTTCTCAGTGGGTGTGTCACTGAGTGGGGAAAACCGGTTAGAAACGTGAACGGGCTGGTGGTGACCAGTGGGCAGAGATCCACGACTACGCTTTCTGCGTACAGTTACCCAATCGCCTGGCTGCTCAGGCACTTTTGGAGGACAGCTACGTGGGGGGCCTACTTTAACTCCTGGATGTTCAACAGCCTGAAGCCTGGATTCTAACTCTGACACCCTCGCCTCCAAAGCTACAAAAATACTACACTTATTACACATACCATTATCACTAAAGGAGGCAGAGGAATAACTGAACATCTGACACAGAGAGCAGGAGAGAGGAGAGGAAGAAGGAAGAGTTGGAAAAGAGTCAAGGGAGGGAGAGAGAGAAGCCATAGCAATGCTAAGCTAGCGCTAGCCTAGGCTAGCTACTCCTTGCTATCAGAAATAAAACAGTGTGAAACTGACAAGTGCTCAGTAAAAAAGTGCAGCAGAAGGTGCTATGTTTTAAAGTAGTCAGTTAGAGATATCACAGAGAAAATAACTTAACTTCGGGTGGAATTCCTCTGGACAGCTGCAACAGCTGCACACTCAGATAATCCAAACAATTTAGAATCAACCTAAAATGGTTAAAGAACAAACAACTGAAATATAAGCTAAATATGGAATGAACAATAAAAACTGAGTCTTTAAAAGCAAATCTAAAAGAGATACTTTTTATTTCTTTAACCTCAAGAGCATAATTATCTGTACTTTAACTCTACAGATTCAGTAAATTCTCTTGTAGATGACAAACATACAGAAAAAGGCTGAGTTTAAACAAACTTTGGATATTGATGTGTAATTAAAAAAAAAGATAACCCAGGTATATTCCTGTCAACTTTACATGAGAGTTTCATGCCACAGTCGGTGGATCTCATGTTCCATATTCACATGAACCCTGTGTGTCCTCTTTCTGCCGCATCAGATCTGGTTTCCATATGGAAGATGTGACAGCACAGACCAGTTAATCCCCTGAACTCTTCTTAAAAGCCCTTCTTATGTGAGGGAACTCGATGAGTCGGAATCAAAGTCAAGGGGTCGTGTTCTGCAATTGTGCAGCAGTTAACAGCTCCACCTAGCAGTTTGGCTGCTGCTGTGCTGACTGAAAACCGCTGAGCACAAAGCATGACAGGTTGGAACCTCTATGTGCTTGGCTCTGTGCTCCACAACTGGTCCCAGCAGAAAGAACCTTCTCAATTGCCGAGCCAAGACCACTGGGGTGATGAAAAGATAAACCCCCCCACACCCTGCTACCACCACTGCCACCAGACCTCATGCAGCGACTGAACATTTGTCAGCAATGACAGAGCTACATTGGGCCAAAAGGATATGAGTGGGAAACTTCAAAACCTGCTCATATTTCTGTGCAGGTGAAAGGATTTGTATAACACATTCAGATTTGATGGATTTTCCCATGTTCGGTGTGGACAGTCGTTTTTTGTTAACATCCTCAAATAATGAGGCTCTTATGTGTAGAGCCCCTTTTTCACCTGTGTTGCAGGGTCCTGTTTCCAGTTGTCAGGTAGGGATGCTGTGCAAACCATCTCCTCGTCTGTCCCAGGCTTATGGAGGAGCACTGACTTGCTGGCTTCAAGGAACCACGGTAAGAGCTCAACTATTGCAGCAGTTAGGCGAAGAAAAAAAAACCGCTTCCTTTTACCGTACATCAATAATCATGTAATGACACGGTAATAACATAGCAAGTTAATGGAGTTCATGGAGAACTTTTTAATGGTGCTGTGCTTCCAATTGTGGGCAGACATGGTAATTTCAGACTTCTTAGATTTCAAACAGATATTACCAGGTAACTCATTTATTTCACTGACAGCAATAAACGAACGTGCAATTATCTAGTAAAATGCAGTTTATCACTTAGCAATAAACAGAAAACCAAACCTAGAAGCCCGACAAGTCAATATTCTTACCTAAACTCTTATTTATATGTAAATCGAATTTAGCTTTATAATGCTTAAATTACCTGATCATAAGTTGCAATTTATTTTGTAAGCTGTTGGCAGGTGGAGGTCAATAATGGCAACTGTTATGCGGTAATCTAATGGTACCACCAAAAGTTTCCATTGTTGCATAGTAACATACAATTGTAACAATTACATACAGGTAATTAATTTCAATCAATTCAGTTTATTTATATAGCGCCAATTTACAACAAATCTTTACAATTCAACCAGATTGATTCATTTAAATTCATCCAGTTTTCTATCTAAGGAAAACCAGTTGATTGAATCGACTCATTGACTTGATCCCTCACACTAAGCATGCTTGTAGTGACAGTGGAGAGGAAAAACTCCCTTTGAACAGGAAGAAACCTCCAGCAGAACCAGACTCAGTGTGAGCGGCCATCTGCTGAGGCCGACTGGGGTTCAAGGAGACAGAAGCAGACACACACAGCCAGGCAGACAAGCTCCGAGCCATTTCCCATTACAGAGGATGAAGAGAGCACATCCAGCTAGTCACAGTCAATTACTTTCAAATTATATACATTAATTTCGGGGTAATTATCAAATAAAGTTTTTCTTGCTACCTAGTAATATAGTTTGACTTGCTATGTTATTACTATGTTGTTACATGGTTATGGATGTACCGTAAAAGAAAGCGTTACCAAACAAAAAAGGTCTTTGCTCCAGTGTCATCTCCCACAGCTCTACCTAAATATTGGGGGAATATGGAGATATAACCTAAGAAAAGCTACACCAAAAAAACTATAAAATGATGATGATGTTAATTAGGCTGATATTTGATAAAGGGATTATTTAATGAAAGTTGTGAATAAGGTTACCTAACATGACATTCGATTGTTAGCAATCAGGGTATATCACCATGTTGCTAAACCTTTTTTTTATTTTTAACACAAGTTAAATAAAAATAAAAACTGACTTAAACCTTTAGTTACTGTGTTTGATCACTTGCATACCCCTTACAAATGAAGTCCCCCATCAGTGAGGTCTAGAAGCCCAATATCTATATCCAGCCGTTTAGCAAAGATCCTGCTACATGGCTGCACTTCTTCTTTAGGCATTTGACCAATTAGATGAGCCCTTGAATGATGTATTACCTACTGGAAACTTAGTTGAAAAACAAGTCGAGAAAAAAGGTAAAAGGCTGTTATTTTTCTTAATATATTCAGACAAGTTGCCGTTTCTTGTTATTGCATTGACATGCATTTTTGCCATCAAAATATCCATATTTTTTAATGTTACAAAGGTAAATAGGATTCCAATAACACTATTGGTATTTCACTGTGTGCTATCTATCCCCCTCGGTTATGAGTTCATTTACCTTTTATTCTTGTTTTCCAGGTGCTGAAATGGAACATATATTTTATTCTTTTTTAATTTGCAGTCAGATCGTTTTAGCGAGGACTCAGTTCAACGGATACAACTGTGATGCCCACTTGCACAGTCGCTTCCCTGGTGAGAAACCGGAATGAAAAAGAAAGGATTTCCACCTTAAATAATTACTGAATGCTGATGGCATTATATTTTTCAAATACTGATCATAATTTCTATAAAGGTATAACATGAAAGAAAACAGAGAAGGCTAGCTGAATGTTTGAATAATACAAAGCATCTGGGTTTTTGTGACATGTTGGTAGAAGCTGTGTGTCTGTCTATATGTGCCTTTCTTTCAGCCGAGAGGGATATCAGTGTGTACTGTGGTGTTCAGACCATCACACTTAAGGTCAACTTTTGCCCAGTTCTTTTCTCCGGCTACACGGACTCAGACTTGGCTCTAAATGGACGCCATGGGGATGCACACTGTCGAGGATTTATTAATAACAATACATTTCCCACTGTTGTGATCTTTAGTATCAGCCTGGCAACACTGGAGTCCTGTGGAAATGCCCTCGTGGTAAGAAATAAATACATTAACATCTTTTCTTAGACTTAGATAAACTTTATTGTCATTTTGTACACCAAATGAAATTTTGTTCATGTGAGCTCTCAAGACATTTTCATTTCTTAAAGTGCAGCAGTGATAAAATGAAAACATGGTTATCATATTATCTTTTATGCTGTGAGTAAATTTCTTTTGATTAAAAGTGGTTTATGCTGTAAATAATAAAACATCTTAAATAAAGTGAATAGATTAAAAACGTTTGAATCTAAATTTAAGCTAGAAAGCAAATTAATTCATTACTATTTGAATTAAAACACATTTTCCCTAAAACTTATTTTCATCATCAGGGGCTTAGCCCATGAAAATATTTATCATAATGAATGTGCTGTTCTCCTTCTCATGGTCACCCTCACCTTTGTTCTCAGCTTTGTTCTTTACTTGTTTTACACCAAAAGGGTAATTAGAGCAACATGTAAATCTGAGCATGTTAGGGAGGATCTCTATGCCATGACTACTGACAGTTAGTTAGTATGACGTCATGTTAATTTACTTCAAATGGACTGATGGGCTGTTACAGGCCGCTCTGGACAGTTTATTTCCCCTTATGACGTCATAAGGGGCATGGTTTTCAAACACAGTTGTTTGTTTTTTTAACAAACATTAACTAAGAGATTGAGAAAGGCAGTGAGAGACGAGAAAAGTTTTTTTTCCCACTTGTGAATCTTATATGCAGGCTTCAGGACACAGATCATTGTTACATATTTTATATAAAGTGAATTTTACAGAATATGGAACCTTTAAATAATTCAAAGTGCACTGTGTTTTGTGAGCAACCAAATGGTTTTTTTAATCAAGCTTTCTCAAATCAAGCTTGTCTCTTCATTCTGGCCTGTTCCTCTATCTCTGCTGTCTCTTTCTGTTTGTGCTGCATTCATACATACAGTAGTAGCCATTTCCCCACTTTACTTGATGGACCCTGGGTTGGTCCATGGCTGGTCCTTTGCTGGTCTCCTACAATTCCTTTTCAAACATCAATCTTTGTACTAAAATATTCTTTTGTCAGGATTTGTGGACATTAAGATGTAAAGAGAAGCGCTATCTCCTGGTCAGACCCTATAATTCAGTGAAAGGCTGGAGTCAGAGTAAAAAAATATTTTGGGCTCATGGAGGGTATTCCGCTGGAAGTTGCAGGGCTGCCTTTCGGCTGGCGTTTGACTGGGCAGGGCCATGTTGAATGGCTGCTACTGTAAACCAGAGCAAATGACTATAATCCAAAGTTATATGACATATAATAACGTTAAACTCACTTTAGTTGTTCCCTCACCTGAACTTTTCTCCTGCTTTTGAAAAGGACCTGATGTCCAAGGTTGGCAAATAACTGAACAACCTACATATGTTTCTTTATTAAGCAAGAGCGGAATTAATTATAAAAGGTTTAACCCTAGAATACATTACAAAACTCCTAAAGCCACCAAATTGGATAATTTCAAACCCCCTTACTGCAGCAGTGGCAGTGGTATAGTCAGTTTATTCTAACCATTATTTAAAAAAATATTTGAACAAAAAAAAAAAAAAAAAAAAAAAGGTTGTCTAGATCCACTTAAGGAAAAGTTGTAAAGCGAGAGGGAAACCAGGGTTTTATTTGAGCAGAGGAACAAGCATGTGAAACCAAAGGGAGTAAAATGTCCCTCTTTGATTGTCAAAGACATCTATTGGGCTCAGCCATCAAAGCACTGCTTTATAAACGGATGCTAATTTTCTTAATTGTGGAATAAAACTCAGTGGCACCATAGTATCACATTCTACCACTAAAAAGGTTCATTCAATTCACATCAATGTTCCCTGCATAACACCCTAAAATTTAAAATAGCAGAGACCAAAGTAAAAAACAACTATGAATAAAACAAGTGTGTGGGTCCATGGCAGCTCGGTTTCCACTTTGTGGTTGATAAACAATCAGATAAACCTTTGGTTGTTGACAGTCTAATTTATTGCTCCAGCAGAGGTGTTGAACCTTTAGTGCACCCCCGTCCTGCGCCGTCCTTAGACACTCCTTAGACACCTCACCCACATGACAAACTCTGCAAATAGACTGAATGGTTAGCACTACAATAATGCAGATCTGTGATACTTTTTTTAAGAGATAATAAATATTATTTTCTAGGCCATCCAGAGGTCACCATCCCGCCATTAAAGGAATAGTACACCCAAAACATGATTAGCCTTCATTTTCTACTCACCTCCATGCTGAACAACACTCTGGAGTACTTTTTTGATATCTCAAATGCATCTGGAGATCTGGGAGGCTTCTTGCTGTCTGCTGACATTCAAATAATGGAGGTCTATGGCGCCCGAGGCAGAAAGGTCCATAAAAGTCCACAAAAAACGTGTCAATATTCCTCCATACTGCTCGTCCAATGTATTCCAAGTGTCCTGAGTGGGTAGCGTCCATAATTTACTCGAAACGAAGTCATTTAGAATGTTTTTAGAGCATAAACAGTAGTGTATAGGATTTCCTGAAAGCGCGTTCACGAGTCTACGGAAACCGCGGCAGACCAAAACTAAAACTGTCATTTGTGCTGCTTTACTTTTTAAGATATCATGACTTATAATAAGGCTTGCGACTAGACATCACATCCTGTGCTGGCGGCCATCTTATAGAACTCGAAGGCTTATTAAAACATAAGTAACAATGGTCCGTTAAAAGAACAACTCCAGGATCTCTCATTAAAAGTGGAAAATAGAATGAATGGACTGACTGGATCTCTATGAACACAGAGAGTGGAACGCTGACCTGAATGAGCGTCTGGAGGTAACGGTATCAGACCCATTTTCACTCACTGTATGTGATCTGTAGCTGTAACATCCAAGAGCCACCAAGGCTAGAACACATTATACCAGGGGTGTTCTTACATTATATTGGCATTATCAGACACTGAGCCTGGTTCTGCTGGAGGTTTCTTCCTGTTCAAAGGGAGATTTTCCTCTACACTGTCGCTACAAGCATACTTAGTGTGAGGGATTGCTGAAGAGTCAATGAGTCGATGCAATCAACTGGTTTTCCTTAGATAGAAAACTTGAAATCAATCTGACTGGATGATCTGGTGAACTGCAAAGTGCCTTGAGATGACATGATGTGAATATGCGCTATAGAAACTAAATTTAATTTAATTATCCTGCTGCATTCCACTGTATTAACCTGAACCCTGCACAAATCTGCATTAACATAGAAGAACATAACCAGTCTATTTACAACGTTTTTTAAGGTGGGTGAGGTGTCAGCTTCACAGGTCATGCAGCTGAGGTACTACTAGCAGGAAGCATTTTAGAGGATAATTACGGCGTGTGTTTAGCTGTGGTTTGCACATATTTGCAGATGAATGGTTTTTGAACTCAAAGAAGAGAACAAAGTTTTAAGAAAAGTATAATTAATGCAATTTGGTACAGATGCGTCTGTCCCTAATGAAACTTACTGTTGGTTTGTGAAGTAGTGACTGTACTTTCACTGTTTGTTCTTTGCAGGTGTCCACAGCTCAGGGACCTAATGCTTATGGAAATCTGTCTCTGGTGCAGATTGGAAACATATCAGGTTATATTGACACCCCTGACCCCCCAACCATTATCAGCTATCTGCCAGGGTTGCTCTACAAGTACAGTTGCAATTATCCCCTGGAATACCTGGTCAACAACACACAGCTAGCCTCGTAAGTCTAATGAAATCTAATCAAATTTTATCTATCTATCTATCTATTTGTCTGTCTGTCTGTCTGTCTGTCTGTCTATCTATACTACTTACTTTTGTAAGTTTATCTATCTATCTCTCTCTCTCTCTCTCTCTCTATATATATATATATATATATATATATATATATATATATATATATATATATATATATATATATATATATATATATATATATATATATATATATATATATATATATATATATATATATAGTTTTGGGAGGCCAGGTGTTATTGATTTTAAAAAATGCATTTCCTTGATAAACAGCTTATTGTTTGATGTGAAAAAGGTCATGTTCCTTTTTGCAAGGACACTATTAACCTAAATTCCATTTTAGTCTGTGTCTTGGAGCTACACCTGCTCTGCTACTCACCCTGGAAAATATTCAATAAAACTAATTGTAAAAATCCGGATAAGAAATAAGCTTCATTATGTTAATAATTAACATTTAAAATGTCATTTAGTCTAAATATCAAAGATAGGGAAATTTTTCAAAATAGGCAACAGGTCCAGAGAGTGGATGCTCTTTGCTAAAACACAGTTAAATTGGCCATGTTGATTTGTGGCCAGTCTAAACACTTTTCACAGCCAAGATCAAACTGGAATAAAACTTTTTACTGGAAGAGGTGTTATTCTTTTTTTATTATTTATATGTATATTAATGAGGTATGTTCTTGGTGAATAGTAAAGCATTTTGTGTTCTTTTTTTAAAGGTCAGCTGCTGCTATCTCAGTGAAAGAAAGCAATGGAACTTTTGTCAGCACGCTAAATCTGCTGCTTTACAATGTAAGACCACAAAAATAAAAACAAATGTTTTGTTGTTGCTGCTTAGTTGAGTTGAACATTTTCACTTTTTCCTTCCGTCAGACTTTTCTTAGCGGTGTACATTCATGAATATGACAAAACACGTGTCATAAATTACAGTATGTATTTGGGAAAAGGTCACATTTTACTTGAAATCATCTAATTCTGTAAAGTTATACACAATTACAGATTATCCTGTTGTTCCCATTACCCAATCCTCACTCCTCTGATTGAACTTGAATCTGAATAATGGAGGTTTTTCCTTACATATATTGAAACAAATGAGAGTGAAACATGCAATGGGGGAAAAATAATGTTGCAAACATGATTGATAGTGATTTTCCTTCTTAATAGGACTCATCATACATTCAGCAGCTGTCCATTCCTGGGGCAGGACTGACCCTGAAGACACGGGTGTTTGCAGCTGTCAAAGCTACAAACCTGGACAGAAGGTACTCATACAACATCATCCATTCGACCTGAATCCTAACTATTTGTTTTTAACTTCCCAACCAGTGCTTGTTTTAATATTATTGTTACACTATTTTGCAGAAATTTCACAGCAAAAGTGATCTAGAAATAAGTAAAAATGTCTTAAATTAAGTAGGGAAATAAGATGATCTGCCAAAGGAATGAGTATTTTACTCTTAAAATAAGATAATATGCATCTAGAATAACACAATGCAATTGTTCTGTCTTCAGTTTTTTTTTTTTTTTTTACGGCACTAGTGGCTTGTTTTTATGGACAGTAGGCTGACAGGAAAGGGGGTATGAGAGAGGGGGAGAGACATGTGGGAAAGGACCACAGGTCAGATTCGAACTCGGATCGCCTGTTGAGGACTAAGGCCTCCATACTCAGGTTGTGTGCGCTAACCGCTGCACTACCAAAGCACACCCATTCTGTCTTAGTTTTAAATGTAAATTGTCTTGTTCCATTGGAAAAGTGTCACGTCCTCAATTAAAAAAAAACTTTTTATCTAAAAAAAAAAAATGTTTTTTGCAGTCAGATTGACTGTCACTTTGAGTTTGTTCAAATTCATTAAAAAAATTCAGAGACAAAAGTTCTCACCAGCGTGATATAAGGATTTGTCTGAAAAGAAAGAACATAAAAACTTAAGGACTTAAGACCTGTTGTAATGCTTACTTGTCTTTCTCTGTAGTAGTAAATTACAGAAACGTTCCAAGTGATTCTTGGTTAAGTAAAAGTTAAAGGGGAACATAGTTATTTTTTTACATTGGGCCCTTGATTTTACATTATTACATCAAGTTCTTCTCACCTGTATTAATTTTGTGTCATTTGGAGCCGTTCCAAAGATATTTCGTTAAGTTATATCCAAGTAACGTCTTCCTATGGGCAACGACTTGAAGGCACAAACTAAACTGTTCATCATTTATTCTTTATGGTACGCCAGCATTCAGAACATGGAGGCCAATCACTGTCCCCCAGACATCTGCGGTTATATTTTGTATATTTATATTTTTTTTAAACAAAGCGGAGTGTGTATGACGTCATCCCCGCGTGCCGGCTACCGTTAATTCATCCTGTCCACTGAACTGCTGCTAGTTTTCCTCACATGCCTGGAAGATGTTTAGTGCTGCTACCACAGATGATCTCGCTCTCCAAATGGAATTGAACGATTCAGATTAGCTAGAATGAATGGAAGGTGTAGAGCGTAGCCGCCTGTGGCCCGGGCTGCCTGTCACAACTTCAGTCCAGCGCACAGATGACGTCAGAAACACTCTGCTTTGTTTAAAAAAGATATACATATAAAAAATATAACCTGTCTGAGGGACAGTAATTCGCCTACATGTCTTCAAACAGCAGAGATGATTTCCTGAGGTTCCCAAACCTGACACCCTGGCTGCACCTAGAAATTCTGTCCAGAAATGTAATGAACAGAATTGGTGACAAAGGGCAGCTCTGGTGGACACCAACATGCACCGGGAACAGGTCTGACTTACTGTAGGCGATGCAAACCAAGATCCTGCTGTGGTCATACAGAGAACGGACATCCCTTAACAAATCCCTTCATTGGTACATTTTTGAGCAAAAAACATTCCAACTCAATAACTGAGCAGATTAATCAGTTTGTAAAAAATATACTTATAATGAGACTTAGGAGAAATGAACCCCTGTGTGTTTCCTCCCATCACTAATCCCACCGAGCAACAACTGGTTGAAAAGACGACATGAAACGACGTCCATATTTGACTGAAAGTGAAAAGTAAAAAGCCGTAATTTTCAGAACTTGGAAATATGTTGAAAACTGGGTTTGTAACGTCTTTTCAACGTCTATTATTGGACTGAAGTGGGACAAAATCAGACCGACCAAATACAACTCAAGAGGTATTTCTGGACTTAAACCAGTATGATGAACCGACCAGATTTAGGCTAAATACCAACGTCTAAATGACATCTGTTGTTTGGAGGGATCAAAGTTAAACCCCTTTAGAGGGAAACCGTTAACACACACTGTGCATACCTTTTTTCATAAACAGAAATAGTTCATTATTATACTAATAAACAGAAATAAACAATTATTTCTGTTTATTCAATTCAATTCACTTTATTTCTATAGCACCAATTTACAACACATGTCATCTCAAGGCACTTTACAGTTCAACCAGATCATCCAGTCAAATTGATTCAAAGTTATCTATCTAAGGAAAACCAGCTGATTGCATCGACTCATTGACTCTTCAGCAATCCCTCACACTAAGCATGCTTGTAGCGACAGTGGAGAGGAAAAACTCCCTTTTAACAGGAAGAAACCTTCAGCAGAACCAGGCTCAGTGTGAGCGGCCATCTGCTGAGGCCGACTGGGGTTCGAGGAGACAGAAGCAGACATAAAAAAAGAAGCATAGATACAAAAGGCAACTGTCAACCAGCTGCACGGGTGGCCCCAACCAGGAAACACACAGCCAGGCAGACGAGCTCCCATGTTAGAGCATGAAAGAGAGCACATCCAGTTAGTCATAGTCAGAAAAACAGGACTACACTGAAAAACAGGTCTAGCTCGCACATCTAGAAACACAGGTGTTGATGTCAACACAGATCAGCACAGCTTGTCTGTTCCTGTTTGGCTGTGCTAAACAGGAACAGACCAGCTGAAGCTACTATGAGAAAAAGCAGAGAGAGCAGAATGTTAGAGATTGAACTAATAGATTCTGCAGAGTGGGAGAAAAGAGATAGAATGAAGCAGAATGATGAAAAAGGGGTCCCTATGTCCTCCAGCAGTCTAAGCCTATAGCAGCAGAACTATAGAGATAGCTCAGGATAACCTGAGCCACTCTAACTAGAAGCTTTATCAAAAAGGAAAGTTTTAAGCCTAGCCTTAAAAGTAGACAGGGTGTCTGCCTCACGGACTAAAACTGGTAGTTGGTTCCACAGGAGAGGAGCCTGATAACTAAAAGATCTGCCTCCCATTCTACTTTTAGAAATTCTAGGAACCACTAGTAAACCTGCAGATTGAGAGCGAATTGCTCTGTTAGGAACATAAGGAACAATCAGATCTCTGATATAAGATGAAGCTTGGCCATTTAAGGCTTTATATGTATATATAAGTGTAAAATATTCTCTCATTGACATAAAAGTGTAGAAAAATAATGCATTTTAAAATGATAATTACACCTGTTGCTAAATATGTTGATATTTATAGTAAAATATACTTATTATTTTATAACATGTAAAGCATAAAACTTAAGGTGTCTTGCATGTTTAAACCTTTATAGATTATTTAGTAGTCTGTTTATCTATAAGAATGCTGAGCCAGAAATCCCAAACACAAATCCCACATGGTGGATACCACTGGCTTGCTGTGCTAGTATCCGTTTGTGTTACCGATCAGTCATGGCCTCATTTTCATGTTCCCCTGTAGATGCTGATTCCACACCCACTAAATGGAAATAAAAATATTGTTTTAGGATCAGTTTTCTCAGTCAAATAAATTCTATTTTATTATGAAACAGATGGAATGTGCTAATGGACTACTGTTACACTACACCCTCTGGAAACCCAAATGACGAGCTTCGCTATGACCTTTTCTTCAGGTAACTCCAAACATTTGAAAAGGTGATTTAATATAGTTATTTCGAGAAGCTTTCATGTATGTCTTTTCTAACTTTCATCAATTTATTTCTCTGTCACAGCTGTGATAAGGACCCACAGACCACTGTCTTTGAGAATGGGAAGAGCCAAATGGGACGCTTTGCCTTTGAAGTATTCCGCTTTGTGAAGCACAAGAACCAGAAGATGTCCACTGTGTTTCTGCACTGTGTTACAAAGCTGTGTCGAGCGGACGACTGTCCCATGCTTATGCCAGTGAGACCAACTCAAAGCACCTATGCACAACATAAGCCTCTTTCCCACTAAAAAATAGCAAATGAACGTTAGTTTTTTTAAAACGTGGGTTGACCTGCCATCAATTGCCATTTAGAACCCTTCCCACTGGTACTAAAAGGTTGTCTAACCCCTCACTGGCAGCTGCATGGCCTCTTTCCCCCCGCCGCTGTGTGTCTGCTGACACCATCATCCTGGGTTAACATTGGTGATATCATCAGTATGACAGAAATCAGGAAAGTAAACAATGGAGAGCAACATGGAGGGAAGCCAGGCCATAGTGCATGTGCTATATTGTTTCGCTCTATTATGTGTCTGAATCCCTCTCACCAGAGCTGCTCCATGTTTACTGAATGTAAACAGAGCTGTTTCTGCTTACTAGATTAGAAGCGACTGGCGCGGTGTGTTGACATCCGTACGTTGCGTTCAATGGTATCACGTAATTTAGTGGGTCAACCCCGGTGTTCCCAAAACTTGCTGATCAGAGCTTGGTGATTTGAACGCGGATCGCTTGCCGAGTCGGTTGACCCGGGTAGACACGCATCAGTGAGCTGTTCCCGTGGCAACTAAAAGCAGATTGTTCCCGGGTTTAAACGGGTTTTCCGGCCAGTGGGAAAGGGGAAATAACGACTTTAGAAGATTACTTAAACAAAGTACAGTTATTACTACAACAGACATTTACAACATGTGAACCACAAGGAAAGACATTATTGCTCACCTTCACAACATCCAGCACATGCATCTAAATTAAGAGCCTATTGCAGAACTAGATAAGAATATTTGTGAGGGCATCTCATCATATTAAAAAAGTTAAACAGAATACAGGAGTGAGGGGGTACTTTCCACTGGAATGGTTGAAATGAGAACAAATCCTAATTAGCAAATTCTTGGCAGGCTTATTTTGCTGTCTCTTGTTTGGCAGCAAGTTACTTTAAAAGATTATTCAATCATGTTGAATAAGCTACGCTTTTAACATGTAATGTTGCAGTGCTGCATTTTTCTCTATCATTCAAGCTAAGGCAAATGTATTTGTATAGCACATTTCAGCAAAAAGAGAACTTAGTGTTATTTATATGATGAAAACATGAGAAAAAAATGTGCATCGCGTGGACAGAATAAGGAAAAGCAAAGTTGAACTAAATCGATTGTGCTAAACTCAACTCTCATCCAAATCCGGATATTTAAAGTGGGGCAAGAGGGGGCCGCCCCCTCAAACAAATGCCTCGCCCCCTCAAAGTTAACCTGACCAAAGTAACTGAACATAACACACAGCAGCCTTAAGTGGCCCAAATCCAATTGTTTGTTGCATAAGGAATAGAAAATCCCTTTATTGTCCCACAATGGGGAAATTCTGGTGTTTACAGCAGCAAAAAGATTATAGAAAAAATAGTCACACAAATTTTGACCTTAGAAAAATGTAGCATTCATCCCACCTGAACCTCATTGTTAAGAAGGTGTGGGGTTATAATCCAAACTTGTGACCTCTCAAAGACTGTGTAGGCAAGTGATTTAACCCTCAATCTCCCCAGGTTGTCAGGCCAGAACAATGACGATAGACGTCAATTGCACTCATGCCCCGCTTTAGTGAGGCTGTGCTGATTAAGATGAGAATTATTGTTTGAGCTTCTGATTATGGTTTATGGTTGCTCTCATGGACATTTAAACCCTTCTGAAAAGAAGATTTGAAAGTCCACAACAAAATGTTGCTGTCTGATGACCTTTACCTGTGAATTAACGAGAGATGATTGAACTTGAGAGAAAAGTGAGCTCTGATTGGTTGTTTCTTGGTAGCCAAGTTTCATAAACTACTATAGGATGATAATGCTTTTAAATTTTCTCCTGTCTGTCTCCAGCCAGCAGGAAGCCCAAACATTCCCATCAACAGCCACATTGCCAGTAAGCCTACACAAAGGCTGCCTAGCAACCAGTGCCAGATTGCTCTCTGAAAACAGCACCTGGTTGGTTAAATCAACCTGAAAATGCCTTGCTGTTCATTTCCAAATGTCAGCCTCTTAGTGGAAGCGTTCCTCCATCACATGAGCACAGATAGAATTGAGTGACTGATGGATAAGGCAGATTGAGGTGATGAGACTTTTAGGCAGTTTTTATTAAGCTTTCCACACCAAGGTTCGGTAGTTTCAAAAAATTTCAAAAAACCATCAACTGGACATTGTTTCCAAGTTTAAAGATATTTGGATTGAGAAAGCTTCCTGGAGGGGAAGCAAAATGTCTTCAAACCTTGGAAACCAAGTCCAGTGGATTGTTTTTTAAACTTTTACGGAAAGTTTAAAGACGTTTCTCTTCCCATCCAGGAAGCTTTTTCAATTTAACATGTCAGAAAATGCGTTGAGTACAAGGCTTTATACAGTAGCCCAACAAACCCTTTTGTTGTATAGAAACATGCAACTTGAAGAGTGTAGAGTTGAAGGGAGCCTCCCCCCCCACCGGTAAGGAAGAATAATTAAGGCAGACCACTTCCCCATACTTGAATTTCTGACGGAAAAATTTGTATAATGCCACGTTATCACCGGACGCAGAAAGAGCAACAAAATCGTGTCTGCTGCTTCATTTTTGCTGCTTGTACCAGTTAGTTCTGGTGCGCGGCTGAAGCAGCTTTGCTGCTCTGGCTGCGAGGTGAAAAAGTGTGTCTGACGCGCGTTGGGCGGAGCTTCACTATCCTTTCTCTGCCTTGCAGCTATATTTGCTGTGATTAGTGGGAATAAAGTAGTTTTAATATGTTTTTAAGTGAGAAAATCCACCTGAAAACTATGCAGCCAGTTCATCCAGGTTCACCGCGGAGGCTGGTAGGTGTTTTTCATCTAAATAATCTAAACTGCAGGCAGCAGGATAATAAAAGCAAACATATTATGCCGGCAGATTTCTGCATTTTAACTGTTTCAGAGGAGTGATCACAGCGCTCTGTGTCATCAGCGATGTGTCTGTCTCACGGCCAGCTCCCAGATCAGCTTCTCTGATTGGTTGATGTGGCGCGTCGAGCAGCAAAAGTTCAATTTATCCATCTTGAGCAGCAGCTGAGCAGCTGAAGCGTTGCTGCTTCAGCTGCTCAGACACGCTGCGCCTGCTGCTCAAAACGTGCTGCGGGACCTTTAGCTGCGCCTTCACGCGTGTCAACCATTGACTTTACATGTAAACTCGCTGCTTCTGCCGCGCCTGCTGCGTCCGGTGTGAATGTAGCATAAGACATAGGGTCGATATGTTGGCAAAGAAAATGCTTTATGCTTACTTAAGACCAGCTTGAAGTTTTGATTCTTCTCTGGAACGGATAACAGGTCACAGAGGGCTACCTCATTCTGGGATGCTGGAGTACAACAGCTTTATGGTACAGCAGACTGTAAACATGAGGATAATAACCTGACTCACTGAGCTGAATGAACCAATCTAGGTGAGGATTATGTCATTGAAGCCACTTTAAATCCAAGAGCAATCGAGGGGTGTGAGATGGTTTTATGGTGTTAACCTGAAATGATTAGTTGAAGATGTCTAGTCATGTAGGTAATGATGGGAAGTCTCTGCGCATCTAGGGCTGTAACATTCACTGTAGTGGAAAGGGGTATGGTCTCAATCCTTGCTGGATTTACAAGAGAATAAGAATATGTCAATTACATGATGCGGCGCCAAGGCCTGTTCTGGTTCTCCCTGTTACGCGGCAGAGAAATACATCCTTTCTTTTTGCACGTTTTTAAGGACAGGTCCACTGTATCCTCCGTAGGTCTTTAGTATCTCATGAGTCATTGCGAGTCCAAGCAAGCAGGCTGCTCTGTGCTAAAAGGAAAAACGTAAAAGGCATCAAACAGTGGTGAATACTGGATGTCCAGTTTAATATAATCCAGGTATATGAATAGTTAATAATAATAATAATAATATTTGAACTTTATTGATCCATTTACCTCTGCATTCAACCCATCCCCTTGGGGAGCAGTGGTCTGCCATTGTGCGGCACCCAGGGAGCAGTGTGGGGTTAAGGGTCTTGCTCAGGGACCCAGAGTGGAGGTTGTGGGGATCAAACCAGCTACTTGCAAACCTTTCAGAGCACAATTGCACTGCTCTAACCACTAGGCCAACACTCTGCTTAGTTCCCTCTGAAATTAATTAAAATAGTTTTTTTTTAAATGGTTATTGAGTCAGATATGTGAGTGTTTGGCTGACGTTTTAGCTCAGAGTCCAATATCTTTCCGTGTGGGGACTATAAAACATATATCTGTGATGGCGGTACTGCTGCTGAAGCTCCTCAGAAATGTAATTAGCACACAGAGCAGTAGAGAAGGTTGGCATCCATTTTCCTTCATGTGTCAACTGTAGAGGTTGCTAGGTGGCAGAGCATACAGGCGGCGAGAGTAGGTGAAGGCTGAACCTTTGTGAATCCATAGCTAAACTCTTCCAGCCTCCTTTTTTTCACAGACCTCGAAGGACCCGGCCAAGGTACACTGGGTCTTTGGAGGATGCAGCCGCTGAAATTGAACACACCCATATATACAGGGGTCAGTTTAATTTTAGCGGTGATACAAGTTCAACAATGATACACTGAATTATTGTTGAACTTGATGACTGCATGAAGAATAAAGTGGGGAAGTGAAGTAGGAGGTAGACGGCAGTTCTACTCTTTACTGTCTCTACTGGCAGAACCTCTCCTTTGGCCAAACAGGACAGGGTGAAATATAGTGTTCAGAGAATTCACAATATAGGAACCCTACATCTTTGGTATTTCTTCAGAGTGTGTACGACCAGGATGCATGTATTCTGGTTCAAATGAGGATGAAAATGGCGCAGGTTGAAAAGTTGTCACCAGTGTGGGTGAATTTAAGTTTCTGGCTACTGGCTGCTTCTTTGGCTCCCTTCCCTTGATCTGCTTTCTATAGAGGGGGCTTATGTTATTAAATTGCTTAAAGTCTCTGGTTCTCCATGAGTAGCTAGCTCATCCTTTAAAGATTCATCTAAGAATTCTAAGAAGTCTAAGAATGCTGCTTTTAGGGGCAGAAAAATCCCAGCCTGAGGCAGCTAGAGTATGAAATTCAATGGAAAATTCAGAAAGTGACATGACACCCTGTCTTCAATTCCTTAACCGATGTTACAAACAGATCTGATCGATTTTATCTGATAATATAAGTTGGAACTCATTTATTAAATCCCACTAAGAGCAACCAGAAACCGCATTTTCTTTGAACCTGGCTTCTAACCATCTTATAGTCTTACCATTCAGAAATCTCAAGATATATGAGATTTTGGCATCATCATGAGGTGACTGATTATCGACTGAATACCAAAGATCTTTGTAAATGGAAACCACCACAACCTGTCTCCCACGAAAAAATGTATCTGGGTTCAGAGAGATGACATCACATAAGGGAGAAATCTGCTGGGTGACTGGGAAAGATGAAACATGATCTAAATAGAAACAAACCCTCCTCCAAAACTTATTTCTCATACCACCTCTCCCTCTAATTGCATTTAATAACTATATATATATATATATATATATGTATATATATATATATATATATATATATATATATATATATATATATATATATATATATATATATATATATATATATATATATATATATATATATATATATATATATATATATATATATATATATATACGAATCAGGACAAAATCCACTTAGAGTGTTTAGATTCAATGATAGTTTGTTTGTTAATCTCGAACCATATCTTAAGTCGAAATAACTAAAGGTTTATATCAGCCATAAGCTCATCTAAATGTTCACCTGTACAAAACATGTTAGCATCGTCTGCAAACAAATTTAGGTATTCTAGAAACTTTGCAGCTGTCATTAATATAAGGGATAAATAATTTTGGCCCAAATACTGACCCCTGGGAGACACCACAAACAATGTCCAACACGATAACTGGCAGTCACCCATTTGCACAAATTGCTGACTGTTGCTTAGATACCTTTCATCCAGAGTACTACTCCCCAGGTGTCATAACTCTCCAATTTCTTAATAATATTTCGTGATTTATTTAGTCAAATGCTTTTTTGAGATCAATAAATACACCAACTGCAGATTTCTTATTATCTAAGGCACTGGTGACTTCTTCTATGAATTCAATGACGGCCATTGTTGTAGATCTTTGTGAGTTACTGACTTTCGGAAAGCAATTTATGTTTATAAATGAATGTATCTAATCTATCCATAAATAATTTCTCCAAAATTTTGGAAAACTGTGGAAGTAGAGAAACAGGCCTATAATTTGTGAAATGGTGTCTGTCCCCAGATTTCTAAAGTGTAATAACTTTGACAATTTTTACCTTTTTGTGTCTCTGAGCAAAAACCCTTAACCCACACTGCTACCCGGGCGCCGGACAATGGCAGCCTACTTTTGGAAAAAGGCTCCCACTGTAAATGATATTCATGAACTCTTCAGTAGGTTTATGATTATTTGTTAGGTAGATCAATATCAAATATGTATTATATATGATGTAACTTGTATGTTTGCTCAAACTATTCTCTAAATATTTCAATACTATAACCAGGAGCTCTGTGTATACAACTAATAACAAAATTTTTTGACTTTTGCATAAATATTTCAACTGCATCTTTAGTCACTCTGGTCATGTTTTCTACTATTTTCTACTTGAAGTTATTGTCAACATACACACCCCCTCTCAAAATAAGCTTTTTTCTCATGAGTGATCAATGTTTCAGAGATGGCTATGATGTGGAACGGGTGTTTAAACTGGTTCAAACAGTCTATGATGCTGTTGAAGTTTGCATATAAATTTCTGTTGATGATAGAAAACGTATTATCTGCTTGAACTGCACTGCCAAATTGATCAGCTGTGTAATAGCAGCAAAGGTTTTTATCTGGATCCATGTTCTCTTCCATGTCCTGACTTATATAATCCATGCAGCTGAATGTTTTCACTTCCAGATTATCTGCAGTAACAGTTGTAGGCGTTAGTGTTTGGTCCATAAGTGACGAAGAAACAGATCCTGTAACTTGTGACATGGTGAATGTGAGTCATGCGAAATATCACCTGTGCTCCAAATGTTCCTTGAAGATTTGAGTTGTATTTATCCAGCTCAGTGATTTCCTGAATGACCAAAACCTTGGCCTCCTCCAGTGTTCCGTTTAGCTTGAAAAAGACCTTACAGTTTGCGACCACTGGACCTTCCTATTAATGTTGACATTCTTCTTGGTCAGGTGCTCGTTAATGAACACGTCTGACCCCTTTAGCATCCTGCCCTGTTTCAGCAGAGCAGTTTTTTGGTTCCGGTTAGTGAACCTCATGATAATCGCTGTACTTTCATTGTTCCCTCGTCTTTGGAGCAGGTGGCACGCTTCAGTGGAGTCAAAGTCCAGATTTATTCCCTTTGGCAAGAGGAAGGAGGCCACCTGTTCCTGCGTGGACACCAGCCAGACAGGGCCCTGATGATCACATCATTCATTCTGGTGTATTGTTCCAAGTCGGCCCCTCAGTCTTCCAAAACTGCGATCCGTTTGTCCTTTCCCCCATTCAGCAGTCATAAAGCCTTCACCTCTTCAACCAGGTTCAGAATGGACTTTTGCTTGAGACGAATGGCCCAGGTTTCTCCAAAAAGGAAATTACAGGTGTTCTTTATCTCCTCAAAATCCTCCAAGGCTGGATTCTTCTTAGGGCTATGCTGGCAACAGGAATGTAAACACCACCACGCACTATCCAAGATGCCGCCAAACCCAAGACTCTCTGATGTGATCTACTTGCTCACACTGTACGTCCAAAAACCACATCCCGACTCACTGCCTAGAGATGGCGCTAGTCAGACTCGTCAATCTAGAAGAACAAATACAAATACAAATACTTCATGATGATCGACTGAATTTCAAACATGTTTGATTTTCTTCCAACCTTACGGTTCCTGATTGGGAGGTGGTTACCCCCGGCAGATGCACGATGAGGCTGAAAACCAGCCCGATTCCCAAAAATTCTTGCACAACTGGATAGTCGGCCCCGAAAAGGGCAAAAAAATCCTAAAGTATATGCCCGAGTTAACAGAAATATAAACTTCCTTGTGATGCTTTTTTGCCCTGTATTTATCCTTTGCAAATATACGAGTACACAGAAATGGATGGAAAGAGGGTCGGGGAGTGTGGCCACCTGGTGGGTAAAATTTCCCAGGAATATGCTACATTTTGTGGACTGACAGCTATACTTGGGGACCAATGACTGGTCCTATTAGGAAATGTTCTCTTCCTGGGATGGAGGTTAATTTAGGACTGATGTATGAATTGAGTTTAGGTTAAGTTTAGGGTTAGTCATGTGTTGGTAAGCTTTAGGTTTAGGGTTAGGCTTACGTTAGGTTTAGGCCATAGAAATGAGGGGGAAATTAATGGAAGTCAATGAAAAGCCCCCACAAGGATAGTTTGACACGTGTGTGTTTATGTGCTTATGGGCCGGTTGGGGGCGTTGTTGAGTTCTCAACAGCCCCCTCTAGTGGTAAAAGTTTGTTAACTGTTTTTGCATAAAAATAACACAAAAAACTTCAGAATAATTTTATGAATCTTATGTTCTTTCTAAAATCATATTCACTCCAGAGATTATTTTTACACATCACCAAAAGCCATAATTGTTCAACCCAATATGCATATCTATCAAAATTAGTGTTGCGGATGAAATGAAACCAGTGATTTTTTTGTGTTTGTGCTGTTTGTCATAGATTTGTGGCAGCAGGAAAAAGAGAGACGTCTCAGTAGGAAAACATTCAAGCAAGTCCTCAGGAAATGCTGTTCTGACCGCCGGGCCCATCATTACTCGAAGTGGTAATGATTACTCTTTGTTCTCTGTCATTTCCTCTGAGTCTGTACTAGCAACAAACCTGCTCCTATTTTTAAGAAAACATAGCATAAATTATAACACAAATGCTTATTTGTAACTACAAATTATTTTTATTTAGTCTAGTTTCTAGAGGCGTCACATAAGAAAAGTAGAAATACTTTGTTTCCTACCTTAGGTAGAAATGTTGGCTATCTAATGTATACTTAACTGATGTAATTGCTTTTTAGATAACTTTTTACTTCTACTCTTTACATTTTTGCAATTATCTCTACTTTCTACTCCTTATATTTTAAAAAATAGTCTTGTTAGTTTGGTTTCCTTTAAGCTAATTTTCATTATGGCTTGTTGGTATTTAAAAAAATAAAAACCATCAAAATAATTTGTTTCATCCAAACAATTAATTCATCTGTGGTTGGACTTGGTGCCGCCCCGACTTGTTGTTCACCACATACCAAAATAAATAATTTTTCAAGATGATTCAAAGGTAAATTTGATATTATTACCGTTAGATATAAAACTAAGAAAATCAGGTCTAAGGAAGTTGTCATCCAGAATTGTAGAAAAATGTTCCTTTAATAGGATAGTGCAAAAAAGCTTCTGGCATTAACAGTTTTTCCTTTAAAAATGGTACTTCAAATGGAGTAAAAAGTTTAAGTTGATCCTCTAAATTCTAGTGTTTGTAAACAGTAGGATTTATACTTCTGCATGAGAAATACACATTAATACTTTTTGACACCTCTGCTAGTTTCCCCGCCAATAGAACAGAGATTATAGAAAATATGTCTGTTCCAGATATTGTGTTTATCCTATAATAGTTTAAAGCTTTGAGAAAAGGTCACAGATTAGCGCACCGTGGTCCAGATCCGGACCCACCTGCTGGCTAATCCGGACCCGACCTGATTTAAAAATTTATAAATTACTGCATGTTGTCCAACGACAGTGTCTAACTTCACTTGCGCCCCTTCTCCATTAAATACGGTAAATCCCTCCGGAGCGTCCGGCTCTAGGTTGCACGTGATCCAAATGAGCCAATGAGCTGCTGTCAGTCTGGGTTGCTGCTGCTACTACTTTTAGACACAGCAGGCAAACCTGTGGCAAGCCGGGCGATGGGAAAGAAGGAGAAGATGATGAGAAAAAGAGAGCAGAGAAAGTGTGGACTGCTGGAAGAACTGCGGTGAACTGGTGAAAGAAAAGTGAAATGGCGCTCAAAGATGACCCTGCACATTTAGAGGATGTTTGGCTCAACCTGCTGCTGTGAAGCAGGATTCTCCACCATCAACAATAAATCTGGATCCAGGCTCAGAATGAGCTCCTTGTTATGTGCTTGAGAATGGCTTAGTCTCCATTTAAACCCAGGTTTAAAGCCTTGCAGGGCAGCCTAAAGCCCACTGCCAACATTAAGACGTAAGAATAACAAACGCTCAGTTCAGATGTAAAATATGTGAATCAGGAAATTTTCTTTATACCAAACTGAAAGATTGTTGTTCTCTACTTAAAAAACAATTTAGATTTTCAAATGGAAAATGTCTATTTTTATATATTTTTTATTTAAAAAAAAACATGGATGCATAAACACCTGCATTTTATTTCAGTGTTAAATTCTGTTTAAAGTAACAGATTATAATTAAAAATGTCTCCGGACCTTTACTGTTTGATGATTTTCTTTTTTTGGAACTCGCTGGTTTTTAATTGGTTACCCCTGGCTTAGAGAATGGCTATATCTCGTTTTTTCAAATGTGCAAAGCCCTCACCTTACTTTCTGCCCTACTGGCTTATGTTAGGAAGCCTGATTGGGTATTTATGGTTCTTATGAAGTCTAATTTCATAAGAAAGCTGGCCTCCTAACATCTATATCCTAGAATCACATCCTTTTCCATGAAATACAGCAGAAAAATGGAATACCTTCCAACCATCTGGCTCCTTCTTACCAATCTATTCACTGCGGCCCTCATTTTTTAAATATCAACTTGTATTTTCAGTCAGTTACAATTTAGCAGCTCAGTACAAGCTTTAAAGATGTTGTCTTGAATAAACATTGCTATAGGCAACCTTTAAAGCAGGGGTCACCAATGCGATGCCCCTCTGGCACCACAGGACCCTCACACATGGGGTGCCCTCTTCTGTGAACGGAACAACTCACCAGTGGGCTAAGCTTGAAATATTTATTTTATACTGTTGCCATTTTGTAAACAACTATGAAGAATTTGATGATGGTAATCACATAGGACCTATAAGCATTTATATAGATTTCAAAATGACAGTTTAAAACCCGAAAATTTAAAGGAAAGTATTTAAAAATGTTAATTAAGCCTAGTTGAAAACTGACTCCTCCAGTACATGGCTCAGCATTGGTAGCCCATTCTATGATCCATGGTGCAGCCTTCATCATTAGAACGATTGGCGACCCTGCTTTAAAAACATTTTAATATTTTCTGAACCATTCACCAAGACTATTTTATCACCTGGTCATTGAGTTTAGAAAACATATTTGTCTCACTGACCAGGAGATTCAAAAAGCCAATGTCCACATTTTATCTACAGGCTGTTACGTCTGTAGCTTAGCAAGAACATAATTGATTACATCACATGTAGTGGAAACACATAATGCTGCATTGTCTATATTCTGGCTGGGTCCGTGCTTGGGCTTGGAGTAGTCATGTTCACAAGTCAGTTTTTGCAAGTCAAGTCTCAAGTCTTGAGTATGCCTGTCGCAATAATCAATTAATCGCACAAAATATGTTAATGTCATGTTTAATTTAAATAACTTCAATAATTTGCGTAGACAGGCTTGGTTATTTCTTTGTGTTTCCATCTCCGTCACAGAAGATTATCTTGGATTTCATCTTGGACACTTTGTCTGCAGCAAGCTCACTTAGGCGTTACTGTGCTGTGATGTGGTTGGCATTATATCTCCTCTACCACTGACATAAAGTTTTAAAGCTGAGCTTGTTGATCAAAGATCAACATGAAATAATAAAATTCTGTATTATTGCTTCAGTAATATCCTTTTGCATGGGATGTCCTTGGCTGTACACCTGCACTCCTTTTGTCAGAAAGGACTCCATGCTGCTCTGTCCCTCTCCCCTCTGCAGTTTTTTTTTTCTGCTTTACTGAATTCAGAGAACCTGTAGATGAACGATGATGTTTATTTAGATTAGTGCCTAGCCTTCTGTAAATCACATTTTTTTAAAGTGTACCAATAGTAGCAGGGATCCAATATTTATAAAGATATGAATAGCTTAAACATACTGCCTTTCAAAGCTTATTTTTCTTCTCTCAAAGCGTAGAGAATGAAAACATGACATTAAAGCAATGGAGTGACTTAATGGTGAAAGTTGGCGATGGCTGATGGACCTACAGTTACTCAACCCGAATGCTTTCAATAGGGTTTGTATTTTCCAAAAATGAGCTCAAACATAAATGCTTTTCCTATTGTTTTCCTAACTAGTTAGACAGATGCATTTTAGTGCATTATTTATAAAGAGCTAGAAAACATTAATGTATAAATACATGACAAATTGTCATGATGGGTTCAGAAAAGCCCAATATGCAGAACACAACGGAGACTGATGAAAAGTTTAACAGAGTTTATTGAAGCACAAGCACATGTAAGATAACACTGGAACTGGTTCAGGCCGGGGGACAGGTTCACTGGAGTCTGTGAGGATGACAGTTCAGTTAGCTCTGGAACAGAAGAGTTTGAGTTTGAGAGTATCAGAAGAATACCTTGAGGAGTCCGGGTTTTTACTTTGAGAGAGGAACTGTTGGGTCCAGAGACTGTTTAGTTCAGCAGAGTCCAATAACCGCTTCAGCGTCTTACTTCTAACTTGAGGGCAGACCCTGGTTTGGGTTTCCAGCTCTTAGCCAAGAGCTGCAGGGGAATCCAGAGAAGAGTCTTCAGGTTTGGCTCAGAGGGCAGGCTCGGCAGGTTAAGCTCATCCAGAGCTTCCAAGAGAAACAGGATTCCTGAAAGCAGAGACAAGGAGGAGTTAGAATCTCATCTCAACAGAGATAACCAAGATTCTCAGGTGTTTGCTAGGCTCAGGTGCTAACCAAACTGGATCAACACTGCGGCGTTGAGGCAAGGTCTGAAGGCAGGTTATATACTGGGGGATCCTCTGATGACGAGATGCGCCTCAGGTGTGTTGGAGGCTCAGCTCAGGAGGATCCACGGCGCACTCTGCTGGAGAGAGGTGGTACAGCTCCAGATCCCAACAGTACCCCCCTCTCAACGACCGCCTCTTGGCGGTCCAGAAGATGTCGACGGGAGGGAGCGCTCATAATCCTCAATCAATGAAGGATCGAGGATCTAGGAGCCAGGAACCCATTGGCGATCCTCCGGACCGTAGCCCTCCCAATCGACGAGGTACTGCCAACCGCGACCTCGCCGACGGGAGTCCACGATCCGGCGGACGGTGAAGGCAGGATGTCCATCGACGTCCAGGGTGGGTGGAGGGGAGTCGGATGGAGGGCACAAAGGGCTAGAGACAACTGGCTTAACCTGGGAGACGTGGAACATGGGATGGATGCGAAGACTCGAAGGAAGGTGCAGGCGTATGGTAGAAGGGTTAATAACCTGGGCAATCTTGTACGGGCCAATGAATCTCGGAGACAACTTGCGAGACATCCCCTTGAGGGGAATGTCCCGAGTGGAGAGCCATACCTCCTGACCAACGACGTACTCTGGGGCAGGACGTCTCTTTGAGTCTGCGAAACGCTTGGTGGTCTCAGAAGAGCAGTTGAGTGTAGCGATGGTGTCTCTCCAGACTCGCTGACAACGACGGATGTGATGGTTGACAGACTGAACCGAAATCTCTCTCTCGTCTGCTGGAAAAAGCGGAGGTTGATATCCGAGACTAACCTGGAAAGGTGACTGGCCGGTGGATCAGACTTGAGAGAGTTGTGGGCATATTCAATCCATCTGAGGTATTGGCTCCAGTCGGTGGGGTTGTTGGAGGTCAGACAATGGAGCGTAGACTCGAGC